AAAAAAAAAAGCGATCATATATTTTTATCCGATAAAAAATGTTGGAAATTTATTCATTATTATTTGTTGTTTTCATATATGTTATATTCATAGATATATAAGATTTATGTGGCACAACTACAAGCGGAAGATGTCTCACTTAAAACTTCTGAATCGTGTGGGCAATCACAACTTTTCATTTGTTTAAACCTTACATTTGCTTTGTGAATCTTATGTTTACATCTAGGCGACTAAAAAAAAAAAAATAATAATAATAATTAAAGAATATGTAAAAAAAAATGTATAGAAATTATAGAATTGTAATAATTAATATCCATAAGTTTCAAGTTATTTTAAATAGCGTTACCATTTTATGAACGAATTTTTTCAGATCCGATTTTTTTTGACTTTGACTTTTGACAGGATAAAGTTGTTTTACACGTTTACTTTTATCTGCTTTTTCAGACAAACATATTAGTGGTATGCCTTCGCAAGATTTACGACTTTCTCGACATCCAATTCTTCTTTGAAATTCGTTTAAGACATTTTTATAAGTCTGCGATTCCTGATAAGGATATCTGTCATCTTGCTGAATTACTTTGAACTTAAAACAAAATAATTCTTATTTTTATCAAATTCAACGAGTATCTAGTCTCATAATTTCAAAAACTTACTGAACGTTCAGATATAAGAGAAGGATGGATCCTTTGAGTCTCCATTCTACTACTCGTTGAACTGTCTAAACATCGAAAAGGGCTTCCATCTCTATGTTTTTTCTTTTCTTTTTCTTGAATTAATTTCATTCTATCGTGTCTTTTCAACTCTTCAATTAATTCTGGAGTTTGATACATAGGTAAATATCTTTTTACCATAGGCATTTCGGGTCTTCGCGTGGTTGCTTCTGGTTCCGTCGTGATAAATTCACGAGGAATTTCAGAAGCACTCCTTTTATAAATATGCGTTCTACAATTTCGTGGACAACACTCGCATTCGTATGGGAAATGAATATTTTCGCACGATTCCCATTCTTTTGTTTGTCTTCTTTCTCTAGGTGTTTCAGGAACATATCGACATGGTTTTTTTAATTTGGATTTGTATTCGTATATTTCTTCATCATCCGTTAATATTGATTCTTCTGAACAACTGGATTTTCTTCGTTTCGAACGGCTACGATGATGTTTTCTGCACCTAATTAATTTCAATTCATTTATTAATCATTGAAAACAATATATTTACGCCACTTTCTATTTTAATATTTACCTTTCCCGATATTTTTTCCTTTCCCTGCTTAACTCTCTTGGAAGTTTACTAATCTTTTTTACGTCTGGATTTCTAATATCTAGTTTACCATTTTTATCGTCTTTATCGTGTTTATAAAACTTTGTTTGAGTGAATCTGTTTTTATCTGGTAGTAAATCGCTTGTTTTATCAACTTTTATTTCTATGGGTTCCGTATCATCAAGTTCCGTTTCTTCATCTGTATCAATTTTTTCTTTAACTTTCGACGACCAAAAAGTTTTCAAAGGCTTCATGGTTTTCAGAGGCTTTATAGTTTCCAAAGGTTTTATGACTTCCAAAAATTTTCGACTTTTTTCAAAAATTTTAGGTTTTTTCCTTGAAATTTTAGTTTCTTCTTTCGAAACTCTAGGTTCTTCTACTCTAGTTACTTTATTTGAAATTTTAAATTCTTCTTCTGAAATTCCAGATTTCCTTTTCGTAATTTCAGAACTTTCTTTTTTAGGATTTCCTTTCAAAAATCTAGGATACCCTCCTGAAGTCCTAGATTTCCTTTCTGAAATTCCAAGATCTCTCGATAATTCAGATTTAACGTCTTCCATTTGACGAACACACTTTCGTGTACGTAAATTTTTAGTTTCATCTTCCTCGAAATAACATGTATCTTTCACAGCGGATTCCAAATGCCTGTATTTTTGTATTGCATATTCATTAAAAATGCATATTGAAAAATAAATCTAACTCTTTTTTCTTTTAAATATAAAAAAATATAAAAAAAAAATATAAAATTACTTTGGTAATTGTTTAGTGGCGAATCTTCCATACGGGACTATCTCACTAAAATTTTCATCACAATCATCTTCCATAGTTGGCCTTTTAGTTCTTCGTTTAGCGAAATATATATTTCCAGTGGATCTGTCTTCTATTTTTAACAGACTCTCGTTTTCATCGTCACAGGAACACGAAGAAGTGGAATCTTTTATCTTTCTTACTCTTCTGTATGATTGCATCGGCATCGATTCCTTCCTCGTAAGCATGCTGACAATTTTATTCATAAGGGATGGACGTTTCTTTTGCAATCCTTTGCACGGCTTTTCGTCAACCTGCCAAAGCAATAAAACTATATTTCAGCGAAACTTTAAGCCTCCGAACAAATAATGATAGAGAAATATGGAAAAATTTGAAAGATTTAGAGTGGTTCATACTTCTCCTTTACCGAGCCAAGGAATTCTTGCAACCGCATTGACGATTCTATTTATACGACCCAGTTTCCTCTTATCCTGTCGATCCCTCGGGAGTAATTCATCCTCGTCGTCACCTACTTCTATGTGTATTACTTCTTCCTCGTCTACTATCTCGCTCGTCCAGGATTCCGTATCGGCGATTGAAGTAGACGAATCGGAATCTTTTTCAATCGGTCGTTTTTTTATTTTGGCACATACTTTTCTACGCGCCCTCACAACGAAGGGAGAAATCAATGATTCGCTGCTCGA